CACTGCAGTGACTGTCTTGTGATGATTCCGCTGGGCTTTCTTAAGGTGTGTCCCATCCATCGCCATTTTCTTAGTCCTATTTCTACTTCTAAATCCCTTTGTCCTGTCCTTTCCCACAGCTCTTCATTTCTTATTCTATCCTGCCACTTAATTCTTAGAATACTCCTCATACATCTGTTGGTGAAAGTCTGGACTTTATTCAGTACTGTCTTCGTTGTCTTCCAAGTTTGCAGCCGTAGAAGAAGTTTGTTCAATTGTCTTTATTTCATTGAAAAAAATATCCATTTATCTTGAACACAAATCGAGATATTTGCGAATGAAGGAGGTGGGGTCATCTGTTTTCAGAGGTAAAATTAGTGAGAAAATGGCCGCCAAAGATTAGTTATTTCCTTAACTTAAGAGTCCGTGGTAACTGAAAGTTTACATTTTTTGTGCCTTTAATCAACGTTTTAAAGAAAAATTCACACAGAAATGAGTTCTTTAATGGGCATGAAAGATGTAGAGCCAAAAAAACTAAAAATTCATAAAAATTCATAAACCTGCGGAAAAATGCAAGTTTCTTCACTTTGATTATTTTGACGAGAGCCTGATTCCATGTACGCTGCCTCACATTTGTGTGGTATCAGCATCATTGCTAAATCAAATCTCCATCCACATTCACTCCCACTTTATGCAGATCCACGCTCCGCATTGCGCCTATGTCCAGCACAAACTAGAAAGAGAGACCCTGGAATTCCGCCCGGCCTTTGCTGTATCATAATGATCTTATTAACTCTAAGTACACGGGAACGACTGGTTGGTGGGTGTGTTACTGTGGTTTACTCCTTCTTTTCTTTCAAACACCTATCGTTCTTATCTCTCTCTCCTCCTTTTTATGTTTGTTACTCTCTTTAATCAGCTCTAATCTTCGGCATTTATATTATGACGTTATTGTGTTGCAAGTGCTGTAAAACTCTGATCTTTCTAAATCTAAAATGCATGTATACGGCAGACTATTTCACCTTTGTACGCAACCAATTTCATCATCTAAGTTTTCAGTCAGCATGACAAATCCCCTTTACGCTCCTAAATAACCTAATTACTTTTTTAAAAACCCACCGAATCTGGTAGAAATGAAAGATCCGAGCAACAAACATACAAATTGGTTATTATAGATGTTATGATACCAAGGATTGGCTGTGGTTAGGGGTGATCATGTGTGTGTGGTATTCTTTGTGTGTATTATAATATATATATATATATATATAAACATATACATATACACACACACACACACACACACATATATATATATATATATATATATATATATATATATATATATATATATATATATATATATATATATATATATATATATATATATATATATATATATCATCAATGCCTTTCACCCCTGGCACGGTATAGGCCACAAACAAGCTCCTTCCATTTGTCTCTGTCCTGAGCCATCCTTCCAAGCTCGTTCCAAGTGAGCTTCATTTTTCTCATGTCCCTTTCCACGCATCTCCTCCATGTTTCCCGTGGCCTACCCCTGCCTCGTGCTCCCTGGGGGTTCCACTGCAGTGACTGTCTTGTGATGTTTCCGCTGGGCTTTCTTAAGGTGTGTCCCATCCATCGCCATTTTCTTAGTCCTATTTCTACTTCTATATACTTTTGTCCTGTCCTTTCCCACAGCTCTTCATTTCTTATTCTATCCTGCCACTCAATTCTTAGAATACTCCTCATACATCTGTTGATGAAAGTCTGGACTTTATTCAGTACTGTTTTCGTTGTCTTCCAAGTTTCGCAGCCGTAGAGGAGCTCAGACTTGACTGTATATATATAATATTTATGTGTTTAATTATGTATTAATGTATGTATGTTTGCCAGAGTAGCCCAAATTTCCCTTCGGAAATCGGTAAATCGTAAATTATCTTTCATTTATATATAATGACTTTAAACAAGCGAGCATTACCGTAAACCAGCTGAATTGGAAACGGAACGTTTTAACCATATCCGTACGTCGTGTTTTACTATCGTATCCATACGACGTGGGGAACTCTGTGCCACCACTTAACCCTATCCGTATGTCGTGTTTTACTATCGTGTCCATACGACGTGGGGAACTCTGTGCCACCACTTAACGCTATCCGTACGTCGTGTTTTACTATCGTATCCATACGACGTGGGGAACTCTGTGCCACCACGTAACCCTATCCGTATGTCGTGTTTTACTATCGTGTCCATGCGACGTGGGGAACTCTGTGCCACCACTTTCCAAAGAGGAAATTTACTCGTTAATCCGATCTGTACGCTTTGCATAGCAGTCTGACAAAATGATTTTTTGAGAAATACTGAAAGTATTAAAGAAATCTTCGCACTAGAAGTATTATAAAATGTGAAGAATACAACCCCAGGAGGTACAAAATGACCCCAGGGCGTACGGATAGGGTTAATGTATTTGTCCTCGCGGCTCTCATCAAAAGCCGGTCATCAACTGATGCAACATGCTGTCAACAACAGCCGGGGAAACTGTTGAATTAGAAATGGAACGTTTTGAAAAGATGGAGACAGCTGAAGCATTGAAGTAAATCACGCGCGGTACAGCAGTCTGAACAGACACGCTCAAACTGGTTTGTGAAAGACCTCTGGTGTCAAACTGGACCACAGAATGCGGAGAAAAGGAGAGGTCTCTGTCGGAGTCTTATGAGATTTTCTAAACCGTCATCATCATCATCATCATCATCATCATCATCATCATCATCATCATCATCATCATCATCATAATAATAATAATAACAATAATAATAATACATATTATATATAGAGAGCCCATATGTGAAAGTGCTCAATGCACTTTACAAGACAGATATGTCCTTAAAGTACATGCAGCATTCGTGCTCAGAGGTATGTAAAATAAAACCAATAATATTATGTCTATCAATGCATAGCTATATAAATACAGGCCTACAGACAGGAGGAAATGTGTATAGAAACAAAATCATGTAAAACATATATGTATGTAAAACATTCTGTATATTATATGAGTGGTAAGAACTATAGTTTAAAAAGGGGGAGTATACCCATGAAATACTAATGTGGTTATATTGAATAGAATTGTGCCCATTATTCAATACCACTCTTTGGGTGCAAGCACAGGATCAGTACAATGAATGATTTACGGCATCCTTGTCTACAAATTGCTCAGTTTGAGCCAATACTCTCTCTCTCTCTCTCTCTCTCTCTCTCTCTCTCTCTCTCTCTCTCTCTCTCCCCC